ATAAAGATTTTTCATTTATTATATATAGTGTATTTGATTCAAATCATGGATTCAAATCAGTTATTATTATAGATTCAAACCAGTCAGTTTGAATCAAATCAAATTAGATCAAATCAAATTATATATTTGAATCAGTTTGCATTGAATCAAATTATATATTCAAATCTGTTTTTTTGAATCAAATTATATATCCAAATCAGTTCAAATTGAATCAAATCAAATCAAAGTACAATTTGGATTCAATTCGAATTTCATTGATTTGTTCAGAGCCTTACCTAGGCTTTCCTCTTATATGTGGCATACTGCAACAAACCAGACAAAGTGAACATTGGTATTACCAAAAATTTCAAGATCAAAATTTAGTCATTAGTAATGTGATTAATGTGATTATAATTAACAGTTTTATAATATCCCATTTGTTATCCCTATATAAAATAATACTATGAAACTAATTTATACCAGATCCACTACGGAACACAAGAATTATAGTGAAAAAATTGCTCCTTATATTTTCAAAATAAATGAAAATCAGACACTTGAAGCTTATCTAAAAAAAGAAAGGATCATTTATGAAATTTACCAAGAAGAAAGAAAATAATAAATGTTAGAAAAAGAAAGCAGAAGCTTTTAGAAGAAGACAAATAAATCTTATTACATACTATCCATTTTTCTTTTTAACCCTTTTAACAAAACAAATCATGGCAATAATAAAGCCTGAAATGACCCAATCAAACTTTTTTTCATTCTTTGAAAGATTGTTTTTATATTCTTCAGCAGCTTTGGCAAAATCTTCATCTTTTAAGTCAGAGACAGTAGTTTTTCATGTGGTAAATATTGAGAGCTTAGAATTCTCTGTTCATTTTGTAGTCAGGCACTACAAAAATCTTGTCTGGAAAAGCTTTTTGAGTAGCCACAATATGAGGATGATCGTCATTGATACCCATGTCAAAGTCTGGTGGTTACCTTTAACTCAGTCTCAAGTAAAGGGTTTGTGTTTTCTATTGACTTTTTTGATCAAATAAATATCTAATTTACATTGTGGAAACTTCCAAATTTCTCAAAAAAATGTGTTTCTTTGACTTAACTATCATAGATGACTTTCCATCTTTACCTAAATTCCAAGTGCAAACTTCAACAACCAATTCACTAATTAAACTTTCTTTTAAGCATTTTAATAATTCCTCAGAGATAGAAAGAAAAGGTATTTTACTAACCACATCTAATACTTTATATTTAGGGTTTCCTTCAAATAATTTTGTAAACTTTTCATAGGCTCTCCAGTTCCCTCATATGTAAACTTGACAGTGTCATCCAAGTCAGAAGTAGATGCATTTGCTTTTTCTCAAAAATCTTCAAAGAATTCTTTGAAAAGCATTGTGCCATTACTGAATTTATAAATCGCAGTTGCCCTAAAGGAAAATATACATTCATCTCAACCATAAATAATTCTTAACTTACTACCTTTTTTTGGGATTCTTGCTTAATTAAGGAGTAAAGAGAGTTGATTTTGTTACTATAATTCATTATTATTATTAGTTTTTACTGATAATTACTACAAAGAAATTCTTTATCATTATGCAAATGTAATTAATGATTGTCAAAATCATAGCATTGTGAAATAATGATAAATCCACATCTATATTATTACTAATTAATTTTTTTATTAAGATGAATAAGACTTACAAATTATATGATGGAAATTTGTATACACAGAAAAAAAATGAAATTTAGAATTAAAAGAATTAATATAGAAATCCAGAATTCATAATTTTAAGAAGCCATCGTATTTGCATCCAATGGAATTTTAAGAGAATATTGCTTGATAGAATATACAATTGGTGGTGTTCTTTTGCATCATTTCTTTGTTTTGTTTGGAACTTCTGCTTATTAAAGGTTAAATAAATTTCATCTGGAACTGCAAAATATAGTTCTGCCTCTTTTGTTTCATTCTGAAGTTCATTAAGATGTTTAATTAATTTGTTAACTTTATTTTGTTTAATGGGATGTAAATTTGAAATTGTCATTTGGAAAAGTCTGTGATTTGAAGATCTAGTTCCTGGAATGAATGCATCAATTTATTCAAATGAATGTATAGATGGATAACAATAAAAACCTTGATGTTCTGTTGTTATTTGTTCAAGCTTTGAAAACTTAAAGATTCCTTTCACAGTCAAATTTAATTCACTAATTAAAGAAGCAGATGCTCCACTGTTAAGTTCAAGTTTTTTTCTTTGTGGATTTCCTTCTTCTGACTCTAATAATTTTATTTCATATTTTCTATCACCCTTTAGCATTTTATGTGAAAATTCTTTAAATAGATTACCATGGATACCACCTGCAACTGATTCATCTTCACATGCTTTTAAAAAATTATGTAATGAAAACTTTTGTTCATTTAGAAATCTTTGATATATTTTTTCTCTGATAATAGAAGAGGCAAATTGAACTTTGTATTGTTGAAAAGTTTGAGGGTCTACTACCATGTGCATTATCATGTGAGAAGTATCATGAGGTGCATCAGTATCACCAATAAAATTTATTATCTTATCAAGGTCACAGGTTTTAACTGCACTCTCCATTTCTTGAAGAGTTTTTTCCTTTTTCCATTCAAAAATATAACGAGCTATGCCTCCACAAAAATCATATATCTCTTTTGCATCATTTATAGATCTAGAATAATATAATGAATTGCAGGCATCTTCTACTTCACTTATTGACCATGTTGGCATGTAATAAGATTCCCATGTCCGCAGTTTTTTTATAGCCTTTGTTATCTTTCTTTTAGGTGAAGTAAGAACTATTGTTGTTGCAGAATAATTTGTAGGTATCATACCATCAACTATGTATATTGTTGATTCCAGGTTTAACACCATGGCAAATTCTTTCAGAGTTTTCCCCTCAAAAACTTTACATTCTTTTGATGAAAAATAATAAACACTTTCTGGATAGTTGAAATGTTGATAAATTATTTCTTTTTTTAATTTTGCAAAATGATAAAACAAGTAAAGACCAAAGTATGTCTTTCCTATGCCTGGATTACCAGTTACAAGAAATAATGAAGCATTTTCATTTTTATTTTCATCTTGAATTTCACTTTGAATTTTTTCATAAATCTTATTGTAACTCTTTCTAATAAGGTAGGATTGTTGTTTCCAGAATAAAAAGGAAATGCCATTTGGAAGTGAAAGAATGTTATTTTGCACCAAGCTGTCTGAGTCAAGTAATGTTTTCCAAAAAAGTTGTATGCTTTCATCAGCTTTTAATTCATGATATTATTTTAAAAGAATCAAAATTATAAATCAATTAATAAGCTAACCAATATCACAAAGAGTATATTAAAAACAGTAAAAATGCATACCTTCATTAACTAGGTGATTGAAAAAAATGAAAGAATAATTTTGAAAATTGATAGATAGGAAGAGTTGAAATTTAAATTATTAAAAAAAACACAAAGAAATTGTAAACAGTATACCAAATAAATAAATAAATGAAATGGAATAAATGGAAAATAATTTTTAGTATATTTTTTTACATAATTTGTTCATTACCTTTTTCTCTTCCCAAGTCAGCAACTGCACGTTGTAAATATTCAACCTGCTTTTCCCACCTCTCCTTTGTTTCCTCTAACTTCTTCTTTTCTTCTTCCAGTTTAGCCAGCTGCTTCTCCTCCCTTTCAATAAGCTCTTCACTTCTCATTTTTCCCTTTAACTCTTTCAACCACTTCCCTTCAACTTCCCCCTCTTCCCACTTCTCTAATTTCTCTTTCGCCTTTTTATATTCTCCAAGTGTAATGTTTAATTGGTTTTCGATTTTTTCGACTGTTGTCATTTTTTAAAAAAAAGATTGTCAGAGTATTTGCATGGGAGGAAAATACTTGGGCCGTAGCATATGCCAGGGTTGGCAAATGTGTGGTCCATTGGTGATCCATTGGGTCCCTGGCATATGTGCTGATTTTTGTTTGAACCCCAAATTTCAGCATGTGATCATAATGTTATGAATACTTTATACTAGCAAAACCCATTGGTTTGATGGGCTGTTGAATAATAAAATAGTTTTTTAGCAAAGCAAATAAATTTTTTAGGGCTAATCATCATTCTATTGACCAGTTACACATTAAAAATATGTCGAGACACAATAAAATATGGAATTCATTATCCTCAAACTGTTTTATCTTAATTTTGAAACAAGACGATTCATTTATAGTCCAGAAAAATATTTCCTGGATTTTGGAACATAGTAATAATGATTGTTAACATTAGACATAGATAACCAATAATCATTTCAATTATTTGGTGCCAGTCCAGACTGTTGGTTTCAACCATCAAATTTTACTATTAGACTTGAAATTTTTCCAATTTTAGGAGTTACTACTATTATTATATATTATGAGTTTTCACATGCATTCTATATACTATTGAAGATTTTACAATAATAAGCCTACCATCAATAATGATTCTAAAAATCCATGGAATCTTGCTAATAGATATTTACAATCAAGAATCAGTTATTGCCCAACAACCACCATCAACATGTTTCACAATTTCCATCCTCAATGTTGGCATCTAATAACATAGATATAATAATTATATTTATTGATTTGATATATTAATTTTTTTACTTTACAAGTGATAGATAATAAAGGGACACATGAAAAGGACGGGGGACGAGTAGGTGTGGCTTGAACTCGTCCCGTCCTTTTCACGTTTAGCCCATGAATACTAGAAAAGGATGGGCAATGGTACGGGTGCTCTGCAAAATAGTATAAAAAGGAGGGCAATTAACAAGAGACAGTGATACATCCCCCGTCCTTTTCTATTATTCATGATGAAAAAAGGTACAGGTTTGCTGTGCCATTACTATCCGTTTTCTTAAAAAAGACGGGCATTAATATTGTATAATAAATATATAATAATGCACAATGAAAAGGACGGGGGACGGGTTCAAGCCACACCTGCCCATCCCCTGTCCTTTTCATGTATCCGATTATATTATATGCTTTAATTAGCTTATTTATTATTTATTATCTATTATGATTTGTATTCTTCATTATTTTATTTTTACACGAGTTTTAGCCTCAATTATATAATAAAAAATAAAAGTCAAGACTTTAGATAAGGAATAAATAGAGATGGGAAATTATAATGTTTCCTAAAAATTATATTTATGACAAACACCTTTCACCCGCCCTTTTCAAGATTTGTCCGCGAATAATAGAAAAGGATAGTGACGGGTTTCTGTGCCTTCACTACGCCACACCTGTTCCATGTTAGTTACCTGTCCTTTTTTACATTATTTTGCAGAATACCCGTACCATCATCACCCGTCCTTTTCTAGTATTAATGAACCAAACTTGAAATGGATGGGGCAGGAAGGTGTGGCTTGAATCCGTCCCCCGTCCTTTTCCAGTATCCCATATAAAGCATTTACTTGGAAATCTTAGTGATTATATTATGGCATATACTTAATGAGCTTACTCATTGGCTCGTTAGGTAGTGAAATAGAAGAAATGAAGAATTTTGGCTCAAAAGACAAGATTATAACTGAAATCGAGCTATTCTATTTATTTCTCAATCAACATCGTTGGAGAGGATGAATTCCTGATATTATAATAAACAATTAGATCGTTTGCTTGACGAAAAATCTTTCTTGATTATCATTGAGAAAAATTTATTTTTGTTTTTTAGATGCCACTTAATGATATTCGTAAAAAAGACTAAAGAAACAGATGATAGCAAAAAAGATTTAAAAGATTATTATTTCTGATGAATTACGAAACTTGTTGAAATGCCTAAAAAGCCAGGACAACAACAACAAATGCAACTTTAAAATTGGAACAAATAGAAAATAAGCTTGAGCAAAATGAAATAATTTATAAAATACAAGTTTTCATGATTTTAATAGACAGAAGGAAAATATAAAATTACATCACTATTCGAATTGAAAAAAAAAAATAGCACGAGTTAATATTTTTTTTGTTTAATATAAATTACTTGCTCACTACATTAGATGGTATTATTATTATTATTATCTTATTCATCTTCTTCGTCACTTAACATGAAATTCTCGATTTGTTTATATAAATCGTTTCGCCTCGAGTTTTTTTCAGCTTCTTCAGTGATGTATGGCGGCAAAGTAATGGATTTGTTAACATCTCGAAGATTAACACGACATGAATAACAAATCAAATCGTTAATATCAACAACATTTAAATCTGTTGAACTGTTGTTTGCGTTGATATTTGAACAACACGATGAAAAAGATTTATCAACATCTTTAGAGCAACAGAAACCATTACTGGTGCTGCTAGTACTATTATTATTGTTGTTATTACCACCGTCACCACCACCGCAACAATTATTATTATTATTTGTGGTCATTACTGTAATTCGGTCTTGCCAAACTTTATTGTCTTTTTGATATGGTCTAAAAAATGATATTATTATAAAATGAAAAAATTATCAAAAATAAAAATTTTTTTTAATCCTCATTCGATTTTTCAACAAAAACTTACAAAAAACAAATCACACAACGATTGTCTGGATCAATGGAATTTGATGTATTAAGTTTAGCTGCAGTTCTAATGATTGTACTTACAGTTGACGGATATTCCTTTTCTAATCCAACAATAAAATCTAATAACAAATTACAACAACAATAATAATTAACTTTTTTGTTGCCAAATTTTTATTTATTTAAAGAGTAATAAATATAATAAAAATGATACCTTCAGTTAATTTATCTATGCTTGCTTTAGATGATGTTTTCATGGTTGTTAGAGTTGGAGTAAAGATTATATCCAATTCAAGAAAATGATTATAAATTCCAATCTCTTTTGATAGCATGTCTTTCATAGGTCTTGAAACCACTAAACCTATATACACAATAATAATAAATATCATATTTTTTAAAATCAATTGGTGATTTATATTTTAAATCTTATTCAAAAAAAATTATAATTAAAAACCTTTAAACCATGAATCTTCTTGAGCAGATATTTCCAAAGGCAATGTAAAACCACGTCCTTTACTTGTTAAAGACATTACTTTAATTGATAACCTTGTTGCACAATCCCCCAAAAACAAGAACCTACATCTAAAAGAAAATCATGGCTTTAAAATTTAACATAATAAATTTGTATTGCTTATATTATAACTATATCTATATACACACACACATATATATATATGATGATTACCCATTCTTTCGTGCAATATTTGTTAATAAATTTAATTTTAAATGCCATATAAAATCTTGTTTTGTTGTTAATTTGTTATTAGGAATTCCATCAAGTAAAGCTTTTAGTTTCTCTTTTGTTGTTGTTGTTGTTGTTGAGTTTTCTTCTTGATTTTGTTGAATTATCTTTGCATAGAATTCTATTAAGAATATATATAAATACAAGTATATGTGTAAAATATATAATATTTATAAATCCATAAATGAAATACCATTGATATTATTATTTGAATTTTCTTTTGTTTGCTTTGATCTATCAAAATTATTATTTATCACTTCTAAATCTCTATTACATGAGCCACTAAAAGTGTAATCTGGTGAATATATATGTTCTAATTTTACTCCAATAAATTGACAATTATATTTTTCAAAAAGATTCTCAACTTGATTTATTGTAGACTGATCAATGTATGTATATATATGGAATACATTAACACATTAATACATTAATATATTATAATCACTTTTAAAATTTATTAAAAATAAAAATACCTGTGAATCATCATATATTGAGCTTTCATCAATATGACAAATGATTAATTTAGAAAATATTTGTCTTTTTGAAATCTCGTGAGGTAAGTTTGTGTTGTAATCGTTTAGAAGATGAACCATTGATCTATATTAATACATGCACAAATATCTATTAAAACTATGAAGTTAATAAATGATCATACTTTTTTTTTTTTTTTTTTTGATTCTTACCTAGATGAAGGACCACCAGATACTCCAATCAAACCAATATTATTTTTGTTGTTATTATTACCATTACTATTATCATTTTTATTTTCGACAGTTTTTAAAGATTTAAAATGATTTGTACGTAATTTCTCTAAATTTTTACGAAATTTTCCTACAAATACATGTTGAAAACATGATCTTTTTTAATTTTTTTAAAGAAAAGAGAAAGGATTTTGTGCATGTGTAAATAAAGATTAAGATTCTCAATAAAAAAAATAATAGAATCCCTTGATATTTTACTTGCAATAAACAGAATGTTGTATCAGTATCGTTGCTAACGAATTTTTACATTTTATGCAAATTTTACTTGAGAATTTGGTTTTAGCTATTATTGATTATTAATTGTAATTCATATGTTAATTAACCATTTGTTAATAAAATTAATTGATATTGATTAATAAAATTATTTAAATACCCTTTTCAATTTCTATTGGAGTTTCTTCAACGCTACACATTTTTATTAGATGAAAAATTTCTTAATTTTCAAAAAAATTTTTGATCAAACTTGTTCACATGACCAATTCAAAAATCACATTATGCGTAGTTAAATAATATTTAAAGAAAATAAGAAGGACTTAAATAATTTATAAAGAAATTCGTGCCATAAACAAACAAATGTTTTCACCACAAACTTTTCTCGTTCTCATATAAACGGTGTGGATTTTCGATAACAAAAAATCAAAATTAATTAGTTTTCACATTTTTATTAAATTTTCAAATTTTATAAATATTCGACTTCGAAAAGTTTTATTATACATACTTTCAAAAATGAAATATATTTCAAATATTTTATTATTATTATTATTCATTGTTATTTTGTAGCTTTAATTAATGCACAAGCCGATGTTACAATTAGTAAACCTGGACCTATTGCAACGCCGGAAGCCCCATTACCCAGTAACTCAAATACTATTAGTTCAATGTTTTTTAAAAATCAATTTAAATTATAAATTATAAATATTAAAATATATTTATTATAAAGATCCAAATTCTAAATGTATAAATGTGGCCCTTATTATTATTATTATGAAATTATTTGCCATGCGAAATGTGCTGGAATTCCTAATCCAACTAAACAACATGTTTATCAAATTGTAAAAAAGTGTGCACACGTTTATTTCGATAAAAATATCTTACAATTATTTTTGAATGTTAGATTTATATTAATGTGCAAGACTATCTTCAATGTAGAAATCAATGCATTGAAACAATTTTTTCTGAATCGCAAAATCCTATGGCTGCAAAATTAGAACAACCTGTTTACCCCCCACTCCTGCTACTATTAACCGGAGGAGGAGGACCTAGTACAAAATTACTAATACAACGATTGATAAACTCGACAATTGCCAGTTCAGCTCAAGAACTTTCATCACTTTCAAGTTTTTCATTAAATATTATTTCTCATATTTCATTCATTCATTGTATGGTGCAGGACACCTAGTCCCTACAACTTTCTGCGCCATAGCGACAGATTTGGGAAAATCAAAAATGCAATAAAGTTTTTACAGTCACGTGTTTTAAAAATAGATTTGGCACGTTGCATTCTCTTTATTAGTATCACGTGATAAAAGATCTGCAATACAGATTTCAAAATTTTCAATTCTTCCAATTCGTTAATTTTTGATATAAAAAATTTGTGTGTAACACGTCACTTTGGGGGATTAACATAGTAAATTTGTTAAACTTGTGCAACTTTAAGGCTTAATTCCTCCACAACAACATGACATATCAACAAAATGAAAATGTCATTTTGTAGAAAAAGGTCTTAGCTTTAAAATGACATCTTGTTTTTTTTGGTCACATATTTCCATTTTTGGAGGAGTTAAAGGATTTGCAAGACGAATAAAAGTTGTAGGGACTAGGTGTCCTGCACTATATACATAAATATTTCGTTATTATTATTTATACATTCAATATTAATTATCATAGCTATTGCTTTATTTATAATGTTTGTCCCAAAAATCTTTCATTTATCTATATTATGGAGCTTATCGAGTTTATCTGTTGTGTGATAATATAATAATAATAATAATAAGTTTTTTTTAAGATTTGCACAATGTTACGTCATTTTTTTTTCTGGTAATACAATTTTTTGTTTTGTATATAAAACTCTTCCCTTTCAAAAAATTGGTAAAAAAAAATAATAAACATGAAAATGTTTATTTTACTTACAAGATGTCCACAAACAACAATAAAAATAATCAAATTATAATAAATTATGAGGAAGAAAGTCAAGAGGAAAAATTATTTAGAATTCGTAAATTATTTCAAGAACTTGATTATGACAATACGGGATTCCTGGATCGTAAAAATATTTTAAAAAATTATAATAAATTAAAAAATCATCCTTTCCGGGATAAATATGCATCGGAGTTATTGGAAAAATGTGATGTTAGTTCGGATGGTATCATAGATTTTGAAGAATTTAAATTTTTCATTGAAGAAAAAGAAAAAGAATTATGGAAGTTATTTTTGGAGATTGATAAATCAAGAGATATGATTTTACAACCTGAAGAATTAGAAGTTGCGTTAACAAAAGCTGGTAGGTAATCGATTTAATTGACTGTAAAGTAAATTATAAATAAATTTTAAATGTATAAATTATTTGTTATTGATGTTTTTTTATTATTTGAAGGAATTCATTGTTCAATGGTGGATTTAAAAAATTTAATTAGTTTAATGGATAAGGATAGTAATGGCGTAATAGATTTTTCCGAATGGAGAGATTTTTTGTTGGTAATTATTAGTTAATCTTTTGTAATTATCATCATTATAATTACCATTATATACATCATTGCAAATACCGTTGCTAATTATTATTTCTGTTATTAATAGTTACTTCCAGAAGTGTCATTACCAGATATTTACCAATATTATGAAGTTGTTGCGCAAGTAAGCATTGATGGAGATGTTATAATACCTGAAACAAATCCAAGATATCTTATTGCTGGTGCATTAGCAGGCGCAGTGAGCAGAACAGCAACAGCTCCATTCGATAGACTAAAAATTTACTTACAAACACAAACAAATCTGAATCTATCGCCATTACCTTCATTACAATCATTATCGTCATCTTTTCTCCCTTCTTCAAAAAATATAGACCCAATCCAACATAAAAAAAATCATTATCATAGGTTAAACAATATAATTTATGCAATAAAAGATTTGTACTCATCAGGTGGAATGTTGAATTTTTTTCGTGGCAATGGACTTAATGTGATCAAGATAGCACCTGAAAGTGCAATAAAATTTTTTGCATACGAGAAAATCAAAGGTATTGTGGCAAAATTTTCAGGAACACGCGACATTGAGTCAATTGGTATGCCAGGAAGATTCTTGGCCGGAGGTTTCGGTGGTGTCATATCACAATTCACAATTTATCCATTGGAAACATGGAAAACAAGGGTTATGAGTTCATCTGGTATTTCTCGGGATCCATTAGCAAACAAAAACAATAATATTTTGCTTAAAGCTGCAAAAGAAATGTGGAATACGCAAGGCATACGATCCTTTTACAAAGGTTTATGTCCTTCATTAATTGGTGTTTTCCCGTATGCTGCAATAGATTTGAGTATATATGAGGGCCTTAAATTGAAATATATTAAATACAAGCAAGAAAAATCGAAGTCAAAGAATAGCAATAATCAATTAAAAAAAGGAGATCAGAATAAAATGGATACATTTGTTTCATTAGGATGTGGTATGATATCAGGATCTATTGGTGCAATAATGGTATTTCCATTATCATTAATAAGGACACGGTAAACAACATAAATTTTAAATAACATTAATAATATTATAATTGTAACTTATTTCATACTTGTATTATTATTTTTAGTTTACAAGCTCAAGGTACAATTGGACATCCTCAACGTTATAATAATTCATTTGATGTTATATTAAAAACTTATAAAAAAGAAAAACTCAGAGGGTTCTATAAAGGTTTAACACCTGCTTTAACGAAGGTATTATTTAAATATTTATTTGGTTATATGATATTATATAAATTTGGATTAATATATAATTATAAATTAGGTTATACCTAGTGGAGCAATAACTTATATGGTATACGAAAAAACTAAATCGCATTTAGAATTAAAATAATCCTGCATAACAAATAATTTTTTATATTTTTTATACATTTTTATATTTATTTTTAATTTATTGTTATTCAGTAAATTCTGCTGTTGATTTGTAGCAATACTTTTTCACCAGTTCCTTTCCTTCTCTTCCCTTGTCTTTTTTTATTTTCTTTATTTTTATCTTTCCCTTGTTATCTTTTGTTTCTAACGTTTAAAATCAGCACACAACGCCAGGGTCTGTTATCCCAAAACCCTCGAAATGACAATATGTCATCTGCTGGTGCTTATTGATCCACAATTCATTGCTTTAATCTGCGCCTATATATATAATTTATGTTCACTTTGTAGGTTTTTTAAAATTGAGATGAGAGAATCATTCAAAGAACAAAATATCAAAAAGGCAAATATTTGCAACATTTTATTTTCATTAGCAACTTAATGTCTTTAAATAATTATGTATTTTTCTATATTTTAGTTGGATAAAAAATATAAACTTAACCTTTTAATCCTTTCCTTGAACACAAACGATACACCTTTGTCGCTGCTGATGCGTACATGTTTATCACAATATCCATAATATTTCATAAATAAGTTAAATTGATAAATTGCATCACCATGTAATAATAATACTAGGACCATGTAGAAGTGAAAACTTTTTAATGAACCCATTTTTTCACAATAATATGTGTCTATTCAGAATCTCTGAAATTCGCAAAAATAAATGAATAGAGGATCAGAAAAAATATTTTTTTCTTTTTTCCAATTATATAATTCCTTATGAATAATAAATCTGATGATGATGATTACAGGTGTCAGATTTAATAAAAACTTTCCTATCGCCTACATGCAAACTCCGTGCAAAGCATCAATTCAGCACCACGGAGTTTTCTTCCACGGGTGTAAGAGATTTGAACATGTTGGAAGGCTTTGTAAGGTGGGCAAAAATTTTCCTAATCTTTTCCTCAGATCAAAGCTTGGCTGTTACAATATATGCATTGATTGTTGACAAGAATTGATGCTGTGCAATGATTGCATTATATTATTGCCACTCCTATGAATAAAGTTGGTGCCTGCAACTGGTATGAAATTCTGCAACTTAGGTGGGAGGTTACAACTGGGGTTGCCGTTTTGTTTGAGGTTGCTCAGCAGCCTTCTCTGGTCAGGTGCTGTGAGAAAAGATTAGGTAGAGTTTTTGATGCAATCTTGATAAACTTCAGGACATCTTTCCCCTCCCTGGAAATTTAATTGCATCATTGTATCATCAGGCTCGAGTCAGATTAGCCTTTGTGCATGAGGAATGTGAGTGAATGACTGTAATGTGCTCAGGGTAGCATTCGTGCCTGTACATCTGTAAAGTGTCCAATAATCCAACGTCGCATATTGAATTGTTTCCCTTCCTTTCTCATCTGCAACAGTTGTATCGCCTTGTCATCTTATTATTCAATGTTAATATTAGTGATGATTACGAAAAGCAAAACAATACCAATCGTTTATCAATAAGAATCTCGTAAAATACAAGTTCTGTTTCAACATTTATAAAAAAAAAACAATAAATAAAAAAAAATCAATACAATGCAACAGAAAATAGTGTACCTCTCGCCATCAACAAACAACGTGTCTCCTTCAGAACAAGCCATGCCAACAATCTTCGTACAACCACACAAGCGAGTAATAATTAGTAGTTTACACGTTGTTTGATGATGGCTCAGTCGTGTGATTATATCTTTAGTTAGTATTTATGGGAAGTTCTTGTAATTAATAATTAAATTGAGAGTTATTTTTTATTCCTTCAAATAAGATCTACAGTTTCAATTATAATTTTTTTAACGATGCACTGTTACATATTAACTTCTATCTAACATGCAACCCCCGTAATAAATGTTAATATTAATACATATGTACTCGGTTTAAGCCATAGCACTAGCCTTCCTCAGGAACAACAAGTCTGCCGACATATCACGTGCTTCGCCGTTGACAGTTAATATTAATATTTATAACGTTAAGGGTATTTGTGACTAATTGTGTTGTTTATTATTATGATTAAATATAATTACTTCTTTGGTTGCGGTAATTAGTACTAGGGGCAGTGGACACACGGTTTGCACTTGGACTTTTCATAACTGTAGTCTTACGGTCCTTTAACACTATTTTACACGGTATTTGATGCGAAAATTAGTCCTTTTTAAAAAAATAGGGCTGTAACCATATTAATCTTCCCAAAAAGTTTTCAAAACTAATAGCTTGGTCTGTTCTTCAATAAGGCAGACCAGGCGAGTAACTTCTCAACATGGTCTAGAGTTGTTAATCGAAACTTTTTGAGCTTTGTCGAAACGTTTCGTCATTCAACATTTAGGCATGTCGAAAGTCTAAAGTGATTGATCAGATCAAAAGTCCAAATTGATGTTGAAAGTCTAAATAATGTCAAAATGCCTAAATGTTATATTGAAACAAAATGTCTAAATGTTGTCAAAATGCTTTAAATTAGTCATAATTTATTAATATAAATTCTTACAAATTACCATAAAAATAAAATCTATTCCCTTATAACAATCTTGGGAATAATTCGCAAAAAATTGCAAACTTTATATTTTCTGTGTCACAGTGAAGTTACATTGTATCAATGATAAAAGATGAAGTATATTAAAAAGTTGGCACCATTCTCGAATTTACTAATACCAATATTATTGGTGGTGTAAATAGTCAGTTTTATACATTAATAATTAATTTAGAGACAAATATTTAGATTTTCGACATTTCAACGTGTTTCGACATTACGGCAAATCAAGTGACCTTATCGAATATATTTCGACAGTCGAAATGCCTAAATGTTTGTCGAAACTATACCTTTCGACTAACAACTCTAACATGGTCTTGTATTGCACGCACTGGATTGTGATCCAAATATAATTTAATTAATTGATATTAAAAATAATTTTATTTATACAAAAAAAAAAAAAAATTAAATAACATAAAATAAAAAAATCTTATAAAAATCTTTAATTAGTTTTTTCAACAACTTTACTATTATTTTTATTATCAGAATTACCATTAACATTATTACCACTAATCTCAGTCACATCTACGTCATCATTTTCACCTGCCAAATCCTCCAAACTTATTCCTTTAGTTTCAGGTACTAAAAATGTAGCCAATAATCCGATAAACATAATTAATGCAGATATTTCAAATAAATGTGGAATAAAGGCGTTTTTTCCACCAATATCTTTCAATTGAAAGAAGCCAATTTGTGCCACTATGGCACCAAATTTTCCAGATGCTGCTGAAATACCAAAAGCTGTTGATCTATATTTTGTTGGAAATACTTCACCTGGTATTATGAATGTTGTAGTATTTGGTCCAAAATTTTGGAAGAACTATATTTTTTTTTGAGATAAGAATTATTGTTTTGTTATTATTATTATTATTATTATTATTTCATGAATCATCAATATATATATATATATATATATATATAATATGTATATATAATATGTATTTACCTGAGATAAAGTAAAAAGTACAATGAATAAAACTACAGATTTATCAAGTATGGCATGATAACCAAATCCAAGTATGATAAAAAGTATGGTTAACATAGTGAAACCAAGCAATTGTATTGTTTTTCTACCAATTTTATCAACAGTAAAAACGGTAACCCAATAACCAGGTATGGTACCCAATAAGGTTATTACAACGTTTCCAAGAGCAATATTTGCCAATCCAGTGAATTCATCATCAGTCTTACTTGAAAGACCTATAGCATCCAATATAATTGCATTATTCAACCCAAGACCATAAAATGCCACATCCAATGCAAACCAAGACAATGAGGTTCCTAATAAAACTTTTCCATGTTTCCATTGACCGAAATGACTCCAAAATTCACCCCATGTGTAAAAATTTGACGATTTTTTTTCTGATGTTGAGTCAGGTTGATTAATAGCTTGTGATTCAGCTACAGTTGTTGTTTCACTAACAGTATTATCATCCTCGGGTTTTGGTATGTAAGTAGTAACATCTTTTGATGCTTGATCATAATTTCCCTCGATATCAATTGTAAATCTAGGTGTTTCTGGTATAGTCAAACGGTAATAAAGTGCCACAAAGGCAGGAACTGCACCAAGTCCAATAACTATGCGCCAACAATAATCTAGCGCTTGGATGTTTGCTTCAATGTAAGATTTGTATCCAAGCAGTGTTATATATGAAATCAATGCTGAAGCAAGAATTCCAAATCCTTGCATGGCAAATACTGCTGCTATCATAGCACCTCTTCTTTTTGTAGTTGCAAATTCACTAGTTATAACTATTTTTTATAAATAATAATAATGTGTTTATTAACCAATTATAATTTTTAATAAGTATAAATCAAAATGTGTCATGAATACGCTACCTGCAGAAAGAGGATAATCGCCACCAACTCCAATACCTAAAATCACTCTCCAAAATATGATAAGGCCTATAACTGAAACAGCAAAAGAATTGGAAGCAATTGCAGATCCGAAAGTTGCAACAATCATTATTATTAATTCAACTCCATACATCTGATTGATTGATTGGTTGGAAGTAATAATAACAAGAACAATTAATTAATTTGCTACAAATAATAATAAAGCCTTTCAAATCTGATAGTTCGTTTTACATCTTAAATTTTCTTCATCCTGACTAATTAAAAAGCCACATATAAACAGCATTTTTGACCAAAAAACTTTTGATGTAAAACGAACCTTCAAATTTGAGAATAATAATAATAATAATAATAATAAAAACAAATCCTAACCTTTTTACGACCAAGGACATCAGCCAACCAACCAAATAACAATTGACCAACTAAAGTACCAACAGCGGCACTAATTTTTAACCCTGTATCTAAATTACCAGGCAAAGTAATTGTTCCAAAATAAACATATGCCAACATTGTAGAGACTATGTTTATAGCGAATAAATCATAAGCATCAGTGAAAAATCCTATTCCTGAAACTATGCAAGCTCTAATATGAAACCATCCAAATTTTGCATTATCAATTTCTTTTAATAATATTCTACGTCTTTCTCTTTGAGAAATATTATCAGGAGTGGGATTAGTATTGGTGGTGGCTTGTGACATTATTATGACGTTATTTTATTTATCAGTTGGGATTTTTAAAATTTTTTATTTTTATTTTTTAAGGTAAAAGTAGATTTGATCAACTTATATAATGATTTTTTGATTTTTGTCGTGAACACCATTTGAAATTTACATCATTCCCACGTATGTGAATTTCAAATTCATACAACTACATACAGCAGGATTTGCTTATCGAGACGGTTAATTTTGGAAATTCTTGGTATAGTGTAAATTTGATCGCGCAACGTAATACACGGCAAATATCTACTCTTTCTTGGCAAAGTCCATTTTTATACATTGATGAAGCTGCATTAACCTAATATGAAAAAAAAATTAAAAATTACGAACGAGCTCATTTTCATTGGAAATCTAAATTACACATCTAAACTCGATAAGTCGGACGCAGCAATCAATTGTTATAAAGTACTTTATAAATATAAATAAATGTCCAACTTATCTGAGTTTAGACGTGTATATATTAGTATTAGATCAACCTCGAAGTTTTAAGATTTGAAATTTGGAGGCTTTTGATTATAAATAATTGATTATCGAGTTTACTTTTGTGGGTTTAAATTTAAAATTCAAACTCGATTCAATTTCTAACTTTTTTTTAAATGATGGTCTTCGCCCTTCAAATAATTAAGAGGAGTTGTGGAAATAGATCGAGTTCGAGAAGATTTTCTGTTTTTTGTTATTTATATTCGGATATTGCTAGTTCGAATTTAATTCAAATTAAAAATATGAATCATCATCATTCCTCAAATAATAATAATAATAATAATAATGGAATTTATTGTTTGAGAATTCGACCTTACATAATATTAATATTTAATGCAGTGCAGATTACTCATCTAATTCGAACTATAAAAATAGTAATATGAATTTTAGGAAATTGATCGATGTCTATCACGGAAAATTTTCTGGCAGAATTGTTTCTCCGCGCGACAAGAGGAAATAATAATTGAAAAACACAATATGCCAAAACCTGTAATTTTCGGGTAAAGAATGGGAATATCCGAAAATTTGCCGGAAGGTCCGGAAAAATTATATTAGTATTGGTTTATAAAATTCAAACTTTATTAATATTTAGCTTTTTTTAGCCTAAATAACTATATATATAATCAGGCAGTCAGGGTTATTACCATAGATGGAAATATTAAATACCGTAATGATCGATGGTATGAAAAATTTTAGAAAGAATTCTGATTGGCTAAATTCAACCAGGGATAATACCCTGTAATGATCGACGTTATGAAAAGAAATTCTATTGGCTAAATTCTGTGCAGATCTTTTTGTATTTTACACATTATTTCCTTAATAGAAATATGGGTTTTGAATATCATTTTCTAAATAAGAAAGGTTGTGGTGGTGGAAAATGTCTATTTTTTGTAATTTATGATCGCAATTCCAAATTCCGTACGGTATTTCGTTTAATCGATAATTAAATTCGTGTTTCAACAAACTTTGGATGAAATTTCCTTATATGTCCAGCCACTTTGTTGAAACATGGTTATACTGTACGTACTTTTTCATTTAATAAAAATGTATGTATATATACATGGACAAAAGTTTAAAATAATTAAATACTATTTATTTCATGTTAATATAAATAATGCCATTTTTGACCAATTAATCATAAAATAAAATGAGAATCAATCAACAGTAATATGTTTTCAAAAACAATGGTATTGACTGTAATAATAAATAAATCAACCGGTTAATTAATGATTCCAAACCTTGCTCATAAAGGTAAAGACAGAAGGTCAATATAAAATTATTTCTTTTACAAATAATTCGTTTTGTGATAAACATTTTTATAAAATTTAATAATAAACAAATTATTTCGGAAATTAATTGTCCATTTGGTTATAAGAGCGGTTATTGTTTAATTTTTGATTTTTGTAAAATATGAATGTTTTTGTAAACGAGTTCAAGCGTAAACGTAAATTATTAAGACTAATTAGCAAAAGTATTACGCGTTAAAGATTATTACTGATTGACCACCTACACAAAGAGCTAACGGTCATTGACCAAAATCGTTTTATTATTTTATTGTATATTTCGTTGCATTGTGTTAAAGCAATCGTTGCTAAACTCAATTATCCAAAGCAAATTAAAAGCAGAGTAAATAAAATAAGAATTCTATAGAAACCTTTGTTGCTTCGTAAAAGGCTCGCCTTTATTTATTGTCATTCGGTATTAATTTTACCATAAAGTATGCTTACATATTCGTCAAAGTTTTCCGGTTACAAGAAAGAGGCAGTAAGCAAGATAGTTGTTAAATAAATTCGTAAAATAAATTAATTGACGAGCATTGAATATAAAAAGCTTGCAATTGAATCAACGAGTGTAGCTCAAACTCGGCCATAAACGTAAAATAATTGAGATTGACCAAAAACTACCTCGCACTATTATCATTTAGACGCATACACGACTTTTGTCCATGCAGCGTATATAGACGCGATTGCTATACATGTAATCGCATCTATAAATGCATACATTTTTATGCATGTGAAGTATCAAAATCCTCCAGCTTTTGAGAAATATATATATAGAATGATTAACAAAAAAAACTACATGACTCCACATTTAAAATTTTGCCTCTATAAATAAGCATGACAAAAAAAAATGGTTATAGTTTCATTCACATATTATTATTTAATAGACAAATGATTATAGTAAGCTTTCTTTTTCAAGTACTCTTGCCCGCCTATAAAAATCTTGCCATTGGCCATGAAATTTGTTTCGTAAAATAGGGAATCTGGCGATATAATGAAGAAATTTTGTGAAATCCAATATATGGAAATCAATCATTGATAAACATGCTTGATTGATGATTCGTCTATGAACCAGAGAAATTTATTAAAAAAATATGGGGAAAAATGATCAACAAAAAAAAAATCAAAAATCATATAATTTAAATTTTTAATTTTAAAATAATATGATTTTTATCATGAATCAATTTAAAGTGTATAATGACAGATTTTATTAATGGACAATATGAAGTTATATATATATAATTTCATGATATTGAAAATTTTCCGTCTTTATTTCTTCATTGAACTTTAAATTCTAATACAAAAACTTTTATATAGTGAATGAAAAAATAATAATTTACCTCAATCATATGATTTGCAATAAGTTACACGTGACAAAAATCGGAAACTATTGAAATTTTCTTTAAAAGGAAGGTCTAGATTATTTTTAAGGAGTTTCTGGAATAAGATATATAGAAAATTTCTAAATGAATTTATACTTAAAATTAATTCTGAAATGAACAATAATGATAGATAGTTTCGAAAGTAAAGCATAAATACATATTCACGGAAATTACTATTAGTGGTAAAGTTGTGTTTCGACCAAGTAATATAGAATTTGGCATCTTGATTTCAATAAATTAACTAAAGGTTGTGTGGATTCTTTATGTTTTGAATGATCGAATTTTGATTGATCATATTCCTGGCGATTTTTTTAAAAGCGAGTTATGTTTATTGTTAGATGGTAGTAAATAAGCAATGGTGGTATAAATGGACCTGAAGAATCATCACCATCGACAATGCTGTACTTAGTGTTTACTGGGGACGCTGTATGTAGGTGAACGTAAATTCTTTAAAATGAATGTTAATGTGTGTCAAATGTTTCAAAACGGGTAGGTAATATAATAATGCCTTTTCCAAAGATCGAAAAATTTTTTTTTGTTAAGATATAACAACGTGAGAAGGTTCAAGTCGGTTCCGAAGCACGCCACTAGAAATATTTCTTTGCACGTCTCAAAAGTTTGCTAGAGAAAATTTAAATCACAATTGGATGGCAAAAATCCAAAAAAGCTAATAATATATAATCATACACATATTATAGTAGTTCTAGATCATTAATCTTCAAAGAACTTGTTGGCTTCTTTTTTTATATAAATAATTGTTGCAGTCTTAGGCTCCAACGGTTTCAGGTTCCAATTAGTTTCTATATTCAGGATTTATGTTTCGATTAATGTTAAAAAGTGAAAATATTTAATTTCAGTCACGTCACGTGTCCGCCATCAACAAAATATACTTGCGGTATTTGATATAATAATAAATGTAATTGTTTATCGGGAATTTTGTTTAGAAGGCACAATATTTTTCAAAAAAAGCATCCTTTAGATTTTCCTTTTTCCTTAAAGGATACATCTAGTGTCAACACTATCATCAACCAATTAAACTATAAATAACAATAAATTTAGATAAATGTGGCGATTATATCGTTGCAAAGAGGTACACTTTTCTTTAATTTTGGCGTAATACGTAATAATTATGTACGTTCTATATAGAAAACAAATTTATCCATTATACTTGATATTAATACACATCTAAACTTGATAAGTCGGACGCAGCAATCAATTGTTTAAAGTACTTTATAATATAAATAAATGGCCGACTTGTCGAGTTTAGATGTGTAAAACGAATATGCAAGATAATCCAATGTTTTACAAATTTAGCCGATTTATTAAGGTTTAGCCATAACAGTCATCCGTGATGTCACGCGATCAATATCAGTCGCCCGTGATGTCACACGATCAATATCTGATAATATGTAAACAAAAAATTTTTTTTGAGAAATCCATATTAAATCGAAGATTTGTTTTTGTGAAAATATCGACTTCAGTTTAATGAGTTCTGGCAACGTTATTCGAATGGTCTTAATATTTTGGGATGCGCTATTTAACCAGAGGTAACCCAAACCAGGGATCAAATTATCAATTAGTGTCTTTTATCTGAATGGCAACTCAACCTTCTTTCTCAACGACATATTATTAATATTTAGTTATTAGTGGCGTCGAATTAAATTTATTGTTTGTTTGTTTTTTTTTTTTTTTGAATGCAATAACAACAATGACGATGATTATGCGGCATAATCTACTCTGGCGATCACTAACTATCCAAGATTATTTTTTTAGTGTTTATTTTTTCAGCAATTTTACTTGATTATGCAAAATGCCGTCCCCGAAGAACAATATTAATATA